ATGATGTTGAGCATAAATCTGTCCATTTAAGCAATCTCTGCAAATGAAAGATGTTTTGCTGTTCTCCCAGAAAAGTAGAATTGTATTAGTAATAATGTTTTCAGTTGTCCCCGGTGGGAGAATTGAGTGCTTGCAGTTGTTTGTCCCTCGATCACTATGTTGGAGGAGCATGTAAATGAAGCAGAGAGTTCAAGCGTCACTTTTTGCGGCCTTATGTCGCCTGCAACTTCTCTGTTGTAATCAGTAGTTTAAATCAGTGAACCAAAACGTAATCTAAATGTGTTTCCTTTGTGACTTTAATGTTCACCAGCAAAGAGGTCGAAAGAATGTGGCAGTGTTGCTGTGCGTTCAGGAGCAAGCTTAGTTGTTCTGGATTTTTCAATCAATCATTTGTTTAAACAAAAATAGTGTAAAATGCCCCCTCACACTCTCTGAGCCCACTGTGGTAACTTAATTAACAGTAACAGATTGCTTGTTTTATCCAAAGTAGTTCAAAATCCAAAGATATTCGAATACATCAATGTAAGATTTTTTCAGAATAGAGATTAGTTCATTGACAGCAACTGTTTTGATAATAAATTCACTGTTGCTCTAGCTTCTTACATGGGAATATTTTCTGGGTTTTCTTTAATGATAGGAAACTCGTTGCATTTGGGTTTTGAACTGCTGGTGGAACAAAACAAGCAATTTGAATATGTCACCTCTGGCTAAGAAGAGATCTGTTTTCAGACAGTTGAAATACAGAGTCACTAGTTAATTAATCAAGAGAATAATTGGCAGATTTAGCAATAATGAAAATTATCCCTAGTTGCTGCCCTAGCTGGAACAAACAAAACTTTCTGAACGATTAATTGATAATCAGAATTGTCAATGATTAATTTTCGGTTGACTGACTAATTGCTCACTTTTCGTTTCGCTTTCGTATTTAGAAAATATCAGGACATATCAGTTACTTTAGGCTGCCTCATGTTCATCTGTGTAGACTCTGCAACACTTTCGTTATCCACAGTCCTGCACCATATCACACCCTCCACCACCATTTTATCTCTCTGTTTCTCCCCCAGCCCGAGCATGGACCAGGCTCTACGCGGGCAAAACTCCGTGTAGTAAATAGTAATACATCACAACATTTATGTTTTTTTTTAACTGGTATTGTACGGTTGGTGCATACAGACCTGTCTTGGCTTTTTTTCTTGGGTTTTCTGTTAATGAAGCTTCACTTGTTTCTGCCATTTAACTCTCTATGTCAGTTTGTCAAAGACGAGCGGAGTCTTTCTCTCTGTTGTATCTCATGGGGGGGAAAATGACCACCACAATCTCACTGTGATAACTCCAGATTGCCTGTTTTGTTTGAATAACAATTCAAAACCCAAAGGTATTCAATTTAGAATGTCATAAAACATTTAGGATAATAGTATCTGTAACTAGAGATTAGTTAATCAATAGCAATTATTTTGATAATTAGTTGTTTTAACACTTTTTAAAAAAAGTAATACACTAAAAAGCTTTTATATTTAAATATCTTCTGGTTTAGATAGGAAACTGAATACCTTTGGGTTTTGAACTGCTGGAGGAGCAAAACAAGCAATTTGAATATATCTGCTTGGGCTTTGGAGAACTATTTTCTGAGAATTGAAAGACTGTTAATTCATTAATTGAGAGAATAATTGGCAGATTAATTGATCATGAACACAATCTTTAGTTGCTGTCCTAGCTGGAAGCATCCAAACTTTGCTTGATTTAAATTAAAAGTAAAACTTTATAAACTTCAATGACTTTAGACTGCCTATTGTTCTGCTAGCATCTGTGTACACTCTGCAACACCTTTCCTTATCCACAGCTCTGTGCCACCCCCCCTCCCCCCGCCACCATTTTATCTCTCTGTCTCTCCCCCCTCCCCAGCCCGAGCATGGACCAGGCTCTACGCGGGAAACACTGAAGTATAGAAGAAGAGAGACGAGGCGTCTGAATGTGATCCACAAAAATGTACTCCTATTCTGTCAACATTTGAATTTAACGGACACAAAAAAAAAAGAGAAAAAAAAATAAGATTATAAGTCCAAATCTATTTGAAAGAAATGACGAGATTTACTGCTGCAGACCTCTGGGTGACTTATTTTCCTCTCTAAAACGCGTTAAGTGTGTGTTAACCTTTTTTTTTTTTGTTTGTTTCCTGTGTTGCTATTTAAATGCATGGACAGTGAATGACACCCTCCCCACTACAGTCTTAAAAATAACATGCAATATGTCGTCCTGAACCGGACACATACTGGTACGTTTGCAAAAATATACATTAAAGCTGTTCTTCTTTTAAACACATGCATTATTTGTCAACACATCTGTATGTCTTTTTGTGAGAGATGACATGTTCTGTTATTTCAACACATAGAGAGTACAGCTGTCTTTTTCTCCCCACTAATAGTACGTAGGTAAAAAAAAATACAAACACGAATGATGTTTCTCTTTACTCTTTTTAGCGAAATACGATGAGATTTTGGGGGGGAAAAATAGCCCTTACATTCAACAAGGAGGTTAGTTGGATTTCCACTCCCGTGTGTCTGTGCATACCAACACGTCACAAACACTGAACATTAAGTCGGTGGTGCAGCTACTGTAGTTCGGCATCATCTCAAGAGCACACGGGGCACTTAATACGGAGCACAGAGGTGAAACTCTTTCACAATGTTTTCATCACACAGCAAAGACGATCTTTATTTGTACAATTTGACATTAAAAAGCAATTTTAAAAGGGTTCCACAGAGGAAGTATCTCCTCAAAAAAAAAACAAATCCTTCCAAAAGACACTTTCTGTAACTGCAGCACAAATCAAGTTTGAGAATTAGACCACTGAGAAAACAGAGGAGGAACATTTTCATCCACAGACAACTGAGGGACGTTTCATTCCAATGTTTTTACTGTAAAATAAACCTGAACGCGCCCTGAAGGTTGCTGTGTACCTGCCAAATTTGCCGGTAGAGAAACACAGTACTGAGCAGCCATAGCGAACGTTTAAAAGCAGTTTAGTCCATGGCTAGCGTCAATTTGTGGCCCCAGCAGCTGTGATTTTAGCGCTTCCTTATTTACATCTTAACATTGGTCTTAGTTTGATAGAAAGGACTGAGTTTTGTTTGATTAGCTGCCTGATTAGGTGATTGATTGTGCTTCTAAATAATCCAAACATGTAATATTTTGTTTTTTCAACATTGTGTCAAGCAGTCCGTTTGGCAGTAGTGTGACATTTTGCCACATCTTAAAAAGTTTCCACACTTTAGTCTCAAGCTGTCGGTGTAATGTTTGTTTCATCCATCTGTACATGTTTCATTTAAACCCTGTTTTTGGACAGTTTGGGGAGGGTGAGCAGGTTACTTCCACACACTTGAGAAAAAAAGCCATTCCCAACACATTCAGGAAGGTAGAATGACGCAAATTCTTTTGTGTTGAAAAGAAATTGTATGCATGTTGTAGCAGACTACTCAAATGTGTTGAAAATGTCCTTTTTTTTTATTAAGGGTGTAGGACGTTGAGCTGTTTTTGTTTTTATTTTCCTTTTTTTTTAAACTGTCTGTCCATGCTATCTATGTTGCCTGTTCTCTTATTTTATTTTCAGTGTTACTTCATTTAAAAAAAAAAAAGGCATGTACCATAATCAAACTGATATCAGGACAGTTCAAACTAGTTTTCTTCAGGGTGTTAGTGAGAGTTAAAGTGTCGAGTTGTCTTTAAAGGGAAAGTTCAGGCTTTTTTTTTTTTTTTT